AGATGAGAGCCCATCTGATCGCACTGCTGCGGGAGGGGCTGTTTTGCCTCCCTCAGTAGTACCACCGGGCTTTTTTGGTGGACTGTCGTCACCGACGGAAATCCATTCTTCGCCCTCCACAAACACTTTAGAGGTCGCAACGCTCGTCGCATCGTCGTCATCATCGTCTTCAAACTCAACAGCAGCATTCTTGCGAGCAGTGTACGATGAGGAGTTCCCGTCGTCGACGGTTTTTACGGACTTTGGGGGTGAGGTGGACGCTGAGCTTTGCGACTCATCTCCGTCCACCATGCGCGATAGCTTTTCCAAGTCGGCAGCGCGAATGCCACCGCCTCCGTTGCTACTACTTGCTGAGGCACCACCTCCACTGCCGTCGGTGCGGATGCTGTGGGGAGATCGAGCCTCCACCTCGTCGAAGAGGTTGTCAAGACCAATTGTGGTTGCGGTGTCGTCGTTGTCAGAGCGGCGAGATGATGACATCGTGGATGGTGGATGTGACTGTCAGAGCGCACTTTTATTTAAATTGCTGCTCACCTGCTGGTGTGTTATTTAACCAGAAAAATACAAAAAAAAAAAAGAAGGTCTACAAACAATCAAAGTGTCCCAAAAATAATGTATGCATGCAGATGAACAAAAAAAGGAGGAGGATGTGTACAACCGTGTTTTTTTTTTTTCCACTGAGCGACGGTAAACATAATCCACAGCACGAGACGCGGCATTGAATCTTTCGGTTCGTTTTTATTCTGCACAAATATAATTTGTTTCGCCGCATTTCGAATCACGTTGCAATAGTGTACACTCGTTCACGCGCCTGACAACTTGTCGCGCCCTTATGTGTGGCGCTTGCCGGAAACTGGACAAAACTCCCCTTCGCTGCAATGTTCAATCTCAGCCCCGCATTCTGCACACACAAGCACAAGATCGTCGTCACTCGCGTGCGGTGATAACGCACGTGCGGGGTACCGCCGGCTGCGGCTGTCCCTAGCGGACAACGGGACAGGAGGAACTGTTTCGTCATGTGGATTCGCATAGCCGGTATCCTCCTCACCTCCTCCTCCTCTCACAGAATTGTTTGAAAGTGGGCCTTCTTGCTGACCACTTGAGGCCTGATGAGTGGCCTGCTACTTTTGCATCCCATTTTGTTTTCAGCACACCGTTACTTACACTTTCTTTAGAAGAAAAGCATGGCAGCGAAATAAATTTTGAGGGGTCAGGGTCGATTAACAGCAATATCACAATATCGTTAGGATGACAAAGTATTCACCGTTTCATTTCCCCTGTCCTTAGCAGCATGCTTAAGCGGGGAGAGGGTAGGCAAAGACGTTTGAAAAACAAAACAGGAAAACGTCGGGGAATGTTCGATGACGGCACCGCAATCACCACAAGGAAGTGTCTGCAGCGCGAGAACGAAGACAAAAGTTACGAGGGAAAACAAGCAAAAAAAAATCAGAAAAAAGGGGCACGGGACAAGAAAGTCGTTGATAAATACGCCCAGCGCGCAGTCACACACAACAAAATGGTGAACTGCGGCATATTACGGCGCGATCAAGAAGCCTCCGGCGTTGGACCCCAACGCAGGCAAGACATCATCAGATTGTCTTCTTTCATTTGTTTTGTTTTGTCTGTGGTTTCCTTCGTTTTGAATAGCTTTTTTTTTTTGCTTGTTTTCACTCGTAACTTTTGTCTTCGTTCTCGCGCTGCAGACACTTCCTTGTAGTGTTTGCGGTGCCGTCATCGAACATTCCCCGATGTTTCGATAACACAAACCGCAGTGTGATGCCTCTTTGACAAAGGACAATTCGTGAGCCGCCACAAACACACGCTGGCGCTCACCACACATTGGAATTTGGGGAATAAGAATAAGAATAAGAATAAAAAAACAGAAGGATCGTCGCCATTCGTTCCGGTGGCTAGATTCCCTCATCGATTCTTGTTGTTTGTATTGATGAAATTCCAATGTATTAAGGTCGTCAACAGACGACACCACCCACAGAAGACGTAAGAAACAAAACGTTTCAGAAAGTCCGTGATGGGCCGATAGTTAAGAAGAAAAGAAAAAAAGCAACTTGGAAGGGGTGAATTGCAAGGGATGCGCTCTTTCTCGAAAAGCATTCAGTGAGCCACGCCACGCACACAGGGATACAAGCCGGGAAAATCAATTCACTAAAAATAAAAAATAGAAAATCTTCGCGACAACAGGGATTTTGACACTGGTACGCTCCCAGAAAGTTCAAGAAATTCAACACAAAAAAAAAGGGAAAACATCAACTGTAAGGCACCTTCGCAAAAGAGTATAAAGCGAG